ACTGATCACACCCTGGCACTCATCAGTGATGGAGGCTGGCACAGGACACTGATCACACCCTGGCACTCATCAGTGATGGAGGCTGGCACAGGACACTGATCACACCCTGGCACTCATCAGTGATGGAGGCTGGCACAGGACACTGATCACACCCTGGCACTCATCAGTGATGGAGGCTGGCACAGGACACTGATCACACCCTGGCACTCATCAGTGATGGAGGCTGGCACAGGACACTGATCACACCCTGGCACTCATCAGTGATGGAGGCTGGCACAGGACACTGATCACACCCTGGCACTCATCAGTGATGGAGGCTGGCACAGGACACTGATCACACCCTGGCACACATCAGTGATGGAGGCTGGCACAGTGCACACAGGACACTGATCACACCCTGGCACACATCAGTGATGGAGGCTGGCACAGGACACTGATCACACCCTGGCACACATCAGTGATGGAGGCTGGCACAGCCATGTGTACTGGTGAGCTTTGTCACTGAGAAAGTGAGGAGACATTTTAGAGTTGTCCCCAAAACAAGAGGTGAGGGGAAATCTTGCAATGGGGACACCTGCTCTGAGGACAGCTGTCTAGAGGGGAATCCCTCACACTTTGAGAGATTTCCTCTGACTTCCTATTGTGTGTCTGGGACAGGAAGTGAAGGGAAATGTTGTCCCCATATGAAAACCATGTGCAAGAGGACTACTGCGTTTGTGAAGTGTCTGCGGGGCATTGTGGGATGTGAGAGGGGAGCCTGTTGGAGGTTACTGGGCAATGCCAGGACCGGGATGCCTTAGGTGGTGTGTGTCTCCATCCATGTTAACTCATGGAGTGTGATTTATCAAAACTGGACGAAATGTTGACCAGTTGTCCATGGCAACCAATCAGATTCTATCTTTCATTTTCAAAGCTTAGCTGAGGCTGACTGGTTACTATGGGCAGCTGTTCCAGTCTTGGTTCTGACTCCACCCCCATACTGTTTTTCCTAACTGTAGGTTCTCTATAAGGCAAGGACAGGCAAACTCTGGCCCTCCAGCTGTGGGGCAACTACAAATCCCATGAGGCATTGCAAGAGTCTCCCAGCCACAGGTATGACTACCAGAGGCATTATGGGATTTATAGTTTCACCACAGCCAGAGGGCCAATGTTTGCCTACCCCTGAGCTAGACACTCTCATATAAAATATTGTTGGTGCCTACCCCTGCTACAAGTGCACGTTCACACCATCCAGTGCAATAAAATGCATCTATTGCGTTGTAGCTTGGCGTTGTTGCAGCACAAGGTTCTGTTTACCTTTTCGTTTTGTTTTTAACTTTATTGAAGTGTCTCAAAAGGACACTTCATTTAAGTCTATGCTCCACAGTCGTTTGTGACCCGCTGTGGTAAGTTACGATGAGGAAAAAAAATGCAGCATGTCTGCTATTTACATGACGCACCGCAACATGCCTCATCGCAGCATTATGGTGTCAACAGGGCACCATAACGCATAACAGTGGTTGTCTATGTGCCCTTGTTTTGAGCCTGACAATCTATGCAGATGGACGCAGCTCAATGAAGTTAGTATGAATGAGCTCTTAAAGAACCATGCATGAGAAGCTTCTGATTGAAGCACCTGTTCCCCCAACATACAGGCAGTGTACTGGTTCCTGGGGCAGTGACTCCATGACCAGAGTTAGCTGCACTCTCCCGCAACTGCTATGACAGATAAGTCCATGAAATGCATGCTTCCAGCAGAGCTTGCCCACACAGGTGTTCTGCTTTGTGATGAAGCAGAAGCTGCAATGGGGGGTCGAGGCTGGCGATAGGAAAAATGTCCCCTGGGACCCGGGCCATCCGTATATTGGGGCAGCCTGAGGTGGTTGCCTCAGGCGGCATCTCATTGGGGGCGGCCACAGCGTTTCGGGTTGCTAAAAGCTCTTTGCGACCTGTGACGTTCTGCTTGATATCTCCCCCAGTTCACTGATATCACCAGTTGCCTAGAGCTGAGCGGGATTCTCTGGGTTGCTTCCCGCTGAGCTCCTGTCAACCAGTGATGTCTGTGAGCTTGGTGGGATGCCAGACAGAACCACTGACAGGTGGTGGCGTACATCGGAACGCTGGCGGACATCGGAACGCACTGTCAAGCCCCCACGGTGATGTCCATAGCCTGTCAGCACAACCTCCCCAGGAACCAAATCGCCTCAGGCGGCAAATAACAAAGGGACGGTCTTGCTTTTACCAGCTAGGAGGGTACTATTGGGGTGAGGGGGGCATCATTCGGTGTTGCACATAGTCAGTCTAATAATGCATCAGACATACTGGAATTATTCATTAGAAATGTTTCTTCAGGCTGCTCTTGGAGGGCAAGAGGACCATAAGGCCCCGTTCACATATAGCGAATTGTCGCGCGATTTCCGCTGCGATATCGCGCATTTTTGCCGCGCGATATCGCGAGAAGTCGCCGGCCAATGTTATTCAATGGAGCTGTCTTAACTCCATGTCGCGCGTCGCGGTCGCAAGTCGCTTCTACCGGACCCTTTTTTCGGCGGATTTTGCGCGATTTTACTTTTTTTCTACGGAGCCCGACGGGGAAGGTCGCGCTACCGTCGCTGGATCGTCGCTGGAACGTCGCCCCGAAAGTCGCGCTATCCCGGCCGTGCGGATCCGCTGCAAAAGGTATGTCGCTATATGTGAACGGGGCCTAAGGAAGACCAGAGTTTTTCAATATTGTGTAACTTTAACTTGATCTGGGTGGCCACTTCCATTTCACCTAGTTCCTCTTTGTGATCATGCCTTTCACTCTGTACAGAGCTCAGTCATGGAGATTACTATAGAGAGAGAGACATGTCAGAGCAAGGAGCCAGGTGACATGCGAGCAGACATCCTCATCAATAAAGTTGCACGGCGTGGCGTGTGGTTTCTATTACATTTAATGACACGTGGTGCGGAAGCTTAGACGGGCCTTGAACGGAGCATATGTTGCTTCTGATTGGTTAACACATATTCACAGAAGAGGTGAGTACAGATCTAAGCTCAGTTACCTTCTCCTCCTGCTCCTCCATTGTCTAGTCTCTGGCTGGGAGGAAGGAGTCATATTGTAGTCTGCAGGGAGATCTAGTACTTGGTTGTGTTATCTGGCGGTGGTGCCTGGTTGTGTTATCTGGCGGTTGTGTTATCTGGCGGTGGTGCCTGGTTGTGTTGGCGCCTGGTTGTGTTATCTGGCTGTAGCGCCTGGTTGTGTTATCTGGCGGTGGTGCCTGGCTGTGTTATCTGGCGGTTGTACCTGGTTGTGTTGGTGCCTGGTTGTGTTATCTGGCGGTGGTGCCTGGTTGTGTTATCTGGCGGTGGTGCCTGGTTGTGTTGGCGCCTGGTTGTGTTGGCGCCTGGTTGTGTTATCTGGCTGGGTGGTGCCTGGTTGTGTTATCTGGCGGTGGTGCCTGGATGATTTAACTGGCTTGACAACATTACAGTAAAAGGGTATCTATGGTCAAATCCTAAAAAGCAATCTGTATTTCTATATAGAAGTTCTCTCCCGCTCCTCATAACCATATGGACCTAGAAGTTTGTAAACTTACTTATTGAAGATGCCGATAGGACCTACTTCCTCAATGCACTGACACCATTTCATTCAGCCCTGTGAATATGAACTTCCTTGTGTCACCACTCACAGAACCTGCCTTCTGAACTACAACTCAACGTCTGAAAAATGTAACCTTATCATTGCTTGCTGGAAGCAATGCATGTTGGGATATTTTGAGAAATGCAGATTCCATCACATCAAGCAGCAGGGAAAGGATGCAAAGCACACTGATTCAAAGATCAACTGACCTGCGGCAATTCAGATGCATCGCGGCGCGAAACAGAAACCGGGCCGTTGACTACCGAAGGCACGAGCTCGGGATGTCAGCCGTAGCTCTGCCTTTCGGCTCGCAGGCGCATTGCGCAGGCTGTCTATGCCTCCTGGATGCCGTCAGATGGAGCGCAAGCTTATAGCCAATGTGGCGTCCGGTTGCCTTGACGACCACCCGTGCCTTCGGTAGTCAACGGCCCGGTTTCTGTTTCGCGACGCGATGCATCTGAATTGCCACAGGTCAGTTGATTTTTGAATCTCTTATGGCGGGAATGTGTTCAGTGATGACACTGTTTCCATGGGAGGGGCCTGTTTGATGTCTATATAAAGTTGATGATTCTGTAGGTGATGTGTCATTCTGAGCGTGATGAAGGGGACCCCCTGAGGCCCCGAAAGCGCTTGCATCGCAGGGCAATGTGCCATTAAATGGATTATTACTTTACTACTATGGTGTGCTGGTGACATTACTGTATTTCTTCTACCACAAACACACAGACACAGCACGGCAAGCCAGTGGCCTGTTCCTCTCTTCTCATGCCTCCAAGCTATTAGATGGACAGCTTGTGGACTTGTACTGGACAGGAAGTTCAGGGGAGCAGCGCTGAGAGAGTTGGAGCTGTTTGGAAACATGTTGACTGTTAGTGCTTGGGCAAAAATGTAAAGAAATACAATTTTCTGTGGAAAGTATATTTGTTTGATTAACCAAAGACAAAAACAAGCACTTAACCCCCACACTGCAAAAGTTTGCCCGGGTTCTTCTTTAAATAAATGCTCGTTGGTTGGCGCCGCCCATTTATTTGCTTGGGCTGCCCAACTCACCACAACGGACTGACAATTGTGCATGAAAAGGCAACACAGCTGACCTAACGCCTCGTAGTTCTCCTTTTTAAAGGGGATTTGTGACAATGTGAATTGATGTCAGTCTATATCTCTTGTGCAGAACGCTGGTTCTGGTGCTGGGAATCCGATTCCGGTCGCTGCTCAAGCATGCAAACAGTTTTTTTCCCCCTCCTTTAAAATCTCATCTGATATCATTGTGGCTTCTAGTTTGGGTTTAGTAATAACCGTGATTGAATGTCATCCTTTTATATAATGTATTTCACGCTGCTTATTTTTTCTTCTTTTGTATCTATTAAAACACTTTTTTTTTTCTCTTTTGTCGCAGGGTTCTTTCACAACTCCAAGAAATGGCTTAACCCGCCATGCACGAGCCTCTACCCCGCTGCGCCACACTTGCCTTTAAACTTTTCAAGTCTGGCAGGCAATGTCACAGCATGAGCTGCAGAGGAATGGAGGTCACCACTGCCAAGGTAATGCCAGCTTAGTGAATTCCCAGTTCACCAGGGAGGCCGGGCAGGAGTAGCCTTGCTTGCTTCTAGATTGTGCCGGTATACATGGAAGGGGAAGCTTGCGGAATTCTGCTTTGTCATGTTCAGCAACACACAAAGCCCAGGCCCCGAGACCGCTGTGAGCTGCATCCTGCTTGGCTTATGCAAGGTCACGGGCTGCCTGGCTATTTCTTCCCCTTTTCATGTCACTTTTCTGTTCATCCTGAACATTCGTTACCTTGCAAAATAATTTCCTGCTGCCAAGTTGTGCTGTGACGTTGGAACTCGGCGGCTTTTGCTCCTCGAGTACTTGTAGGAGTGCCAGCAGCAGTTATGTAGAGGAAGGATTGCTAATTCTAACATCGGCTTGCGTCTTGATTGTTTGGCTTGTGATGATTATTGTCAGACGGGAAAGGCAGCTTTTTGGTATGTGGACTTTATAGTACAAATAGTTTTTCTAAGAGGGTAAAGATCAGTCCACCGAACACCAGTTATTTGTAGAAGCTTAGGCATTAAAGCCCATTTCTGGCCTGTTTTTATTTGTCTGTGACCCCACTGGGCAGATTTTCCTCTCCTCCTGTCCCTGTGACAACCAAACAATATAGGGTACAGCTGTCACTAGGAAAGGAAGTCACAGCAAAAAAAAAACATTTCTCACCCTTCCCTACTCTCTACTATAAATGTTTTTGCCTCTGTCCCCATTGAAGAGAGTTCCCCCCACGTGCTGTGCTATCCCAGCATCATTTAAATTGCAACTGGCGCCAGAAATGTATTTTTGGTTTTGGATAGATTGGAGAGGGATTAGAACCACTGACAGGTTTTTATTGCTGTCTGTGTCCCCGTTAGGGAGATTCACTCTCTCTATTTGTCTCACTGATTGTTATCCGTGAACGTGAATGAAAATAAATGTTTTTGGGTTGTCACTAGTGATGAGCAGAGGCTTAGTGCAGTGGCGTCACAAGGGGGGTGTGGCCCGCACCCGGGTGCCACCATTGGAGGGGTGACACCAAAATGACTGGCAGTAATTTTAGTGTCACCCCCTATGAAAAGTCGGGCACTCGGTTACGGACCGAGAGCCCGACAGTGTCAGGAGAGAAAAGGGGACCCGACGGCATATCTCATCCCGCCGGGTGAACGTTCCCTCCTCTCTCTGCCGGCGTCCATAAGCAAGATGGCCGCCGTAAAGCATCAAGAAGACGACCGCGCATGCACGATGACGTCACGGCGGGGTGTCACGCGGTCTCCGCTCCGGGTGACACCCAGTCTCGGGACGCCCCTGGCTTGGTGTGAACCCGGTTCACTTGAGTTTGCCCAAGACTGAGCTAAACTAACACCCCCCTGGGTTTTGATAGGGGCATTTCCTGCTGCACAGCTTCAAGTTACAAAGGGGCTGTAAATTCCTCTGCTGCAACTGCCACAAGTGATTGGGGGGATGTCAGCCACTGTTTTGCATGGGCTTGAGCGAACTGGGTTTGCACCAAGCCCACATGCATCATTAGGAGTCACGTGACCAAGAGTAGATGGGGAATCTTCCAATGAGAACACTAATTCGGGTGGTCACCAGGGATTTCCCTCACTCTAGAGGGATTTCGTCTTACTTCCTGTTATGGCAATCAGGGAGTGAAGGGAAATCTCCCAAGTGGGACACAGATGGCAAACTTAAAGCGGACACAAAAACCTCCCTTGCTCCATATCCAAAAACTAAAAAAAGTTTTGGCTTCAGTTCTACTTGAATGCTGGAACGGCCGGAAATCAGTGCTTAATTGTTGAGATCTTGAGTCATGATCCTGCTACAGTGAGAGCCCTTTGTAGTCGAGCACTGCAACACTATGGATCTGCATTGAGTTTAAAGGTAAAGTGCTTTGATGGGATCTGTTTTAATCATGCCACTTCCTGTCAGTCCAGAGTCTTTAACTATCAACTCTGCCCTATCACTCTCTGCAGCAACTGACAGGGTCGTCCCTATAGTGAGGCAGCCTGAGACGGTTGCCTCAGGCAGCATTTCTTAGGGTCACATAGGTACACCTGCCGCCCCTTTGCGGGAGGAGCGTCCCAAGTTGCTAAAAGTTTTTAGCAAACAGTGATGCTCGGTCGGTATCGCGCAGCTTCTCTGGCACCTGCCACCTCCACCCCATGACCCCAACACCTGAGGCGGCTAAAAGTATAGGGACACCACTGACAACAGATAACTGCACCAGTGATCAGTTGCTTCTGAAGTGCATGGGGGAGGCTCAATCTGATCTACACTGACCAGATCCATACCCATCCATGACAAAATAAGTGTGAAAATAAATGAATAATAATGTATAAAAATAACAAAAGGATGAACAAATATATATATATATAGGGCTATATTGGCCAAGGCTGCCGAGCACAGCCCAACACATAGTGTCAATGGGTACTAAAATGCAAGGTCCATATATCTGGATACCCCCCACCCCCTGCTGTCAAAATGCTGAATTATGGAAATAAAAAAAAAACACTTAAAAAAACAAAAAAAATATCTTGCCTTACTTTCCAAAATGAGATAACATCAGTGCGATCCTGGGAAAGTTGGGTGTCATAGGGGTTAACAAGCCCTATGTGATAGCGTTTGGAGGTGACAGGTTCTCTTTTTGGAGCCTGCCCTCCAATGCAGAAGATTGATCACAGCTTTGTGCTCGATCTCCTGTGCAGCCCGGCTTGTGACAGCTGAGACAGGAAGTGCTGTGAGTCTCACTGATCACACAGAGCAGATCAGGGAATGGACACCTCTCCGGTCTGCTCCCCGATCTCTATCCTGAAATAATTGCCCATGTCTGGGTCAGGAAGTGATTTGGATGGCTGTACAGCACAAAACGAGTGGCTGCTCCCCTGCTTGTCTGCAGCAGTGCTAAATGTAGAAAAAAGAAAAATCTGCCCGGCGTCCAGAACTGCATGTCCTGGGCTTTGGGCGATAGTAATCGGGCACCACTGTGTAGGAAAGTAGCCACCACTCCACGCTTGCTTCTGTGATGGGCTACAATCTCAATACAAATGAGTAAACTAAACATGAGATTGCAGTCCATCATGGGAGTGAGCTTGGAGCGGTGACTACTTTACAACACACAGGGACCATGGGGAACAAAAGTAGTCACCCTCTAGAAGGAAGGACAGTGTCGGCACCAATTCAGAGATGATTTGAGGATCTACAGATGAGTGATACACAAATAAGATACAGGTGTGTTAGTAGTTAAGTTACTTGAATGTATTTGTAAGATTGAACTCCTGAGTTTAGTGTCATTTTTAACATCTGCTTGACGTTGCCAGGTAGTTAGTTGCCTGTGATATTCTGGCAGTGTTTCATACATTTTGTCTTCCTTTTATTAGCACAATGCTTCCATTCTTGCGATGGTGTCATGTTAGACCGATATAAATACGTCTGGGGAATCTCTAGGGTTTGCGATGGGAACATTGACCATCATCTGGGTGATGTGGTGTGTGAAGAGTGGAACACCTGCGTTACTCTACAAGTGTGAACATGTCAGTGATGAGAGCAGAGCCCGTGCTCCAGGCTGTTCTGGCTCTGACAGGGAAGGCTTCGCTTCCTTCCAGCCATTAACATTGGAGCCTACACTTCACCTTCACCTCCCTTTAATGTTTGCCTGCAACGCTGCTTGTCAGAGAAGTATAAAAGCTAAAAACAAACACTGAGTGTTAAAAGGAAATGTATTTATTTATAGAATGGCTTTGCATGAAGAACCCTACTGGCCACTTTATCACAGCAAGACGTGGAGATAAGTGTTGACTATATAGCGAGTTCAGCAGCTCCCCTTTATTAAACAGTAAGAAAAGGTTTTCTGTAATACACACTTCTTCACAATTAAACTGAGAGTGCCATTAAAGTCCTCCTCTGACAATGCTAATCCTCGGCTGTGAGTCGGGTAAGTGTCAGAGTCTCTATACTTGTACCAGGTCAGCTACTTAGATATTTTGGAAAGAGCAGGTAATAATGAAAACCCCCCCCTTTTCCATTCCGGGTCCCGTTGGGGAAATTCCCCTTCACTTCCTGCCCTGTAGAGACAACCGGAAGTGAGGAAATCTCTTCAATGTGAGGGAAATCCCTTCTCAGACAGTTGTCACCGGAAGAGTTGTCTCCATTGGAAATGTTTCCATCTATTGCGGTTTTGGTGCCAACTCAGAATTGTGGTTTCTACCTTACTTTCATTCCCAGCCTTCCTGGTAGTCACCAGGACAAACCGAGTGTATCCCCTTAATGGGGGAAGGGGTCACAGACATAAAAAAAAACCTGACGGGGACTAACCCGGGGGTGGTCAAATCCAGCCCTCCAGCTGTTGTGGAACTACAGGTCCCATGAGGCATTGCAAGGCTGACCGTTACAGGCCTGCATGTCTCCCAGAGGCAGAGGTATGATTGGATTTGTAGTTAAAGCACAGCTGGAGGACCAGAGTTCCCCACCCCTGTACTAACCACTCACCACTTTATCCAAAACTAAAATAAAAGTGAAAGCATCCGAATGACAGCCAGGGAATTGACATTTTTAGGGAAGTATTGGCAACCTCCATCAATCTTTCAGTGTAGTGGTCAGAGGCAGGTTTTTGCAGCCAGGCAATTAGCAATTGCAGCAGGAGAAGCAGTGGCAGCCTCCATGGTGTTCAATGATAGGGTCTCTATTAAAGCTGATCGCTTGGCAGATAGGAATGACACGCATTAATGCAGCTCTGAAATCATCAATACATCAGTTGTCATATGTGTTAAATACAAGCAGTGTAAGTAACTGCTGTTGGCCTGTTGTCAGCCCCTTGCAGTTTCTGTATTGCAGAGCTGGAGTGAGAGGAAGAAGCAATACAAGGAGCCAATCGGCTCATGTGCTGTCAAGAAGCATGCTGATAGGAGGAGAGTGACGGAGAGATGACCTCATCACACAGCACCTTCTCCTTTCACTGTCCAGTCACAGGCTAGAGGCGGGTCCAGGACAACCTGAGCTCAGAGGAAGTGGGTTG